AGCTTCATAACCCGGTCTTCCGTGGCAGATCTTTAATAGCTTCAATAACATTGCAATGGCTATGATATTCCACTCATCTTGTTTACATTACAGATTCGTTGATGTTTCCTGTATCCTAGTTAAAGTTCTCTAGCCTTCTTTGATACTGTGGGGATGTCATTTTAGTGTACAGCCGTATTTATCACTTCAGTTTCCACCAATTTTTTTGTTTTTTAGTTAGTACAGTTGGAAGGGCAACTGTTATTTGCCGTGGTGGTGTGCTGCCACCTCAACAATTCTTAAATGCATGTGGTTCTTTAGCGATGCAACATATACCCGGTGCAATCAATTCGTCTGTTGGTAGCATATCATCAAATTATGCTTCAAGTGCAGCTTTTTGTATGAATAATCGTACTGTTAACCCTGATATTTTGTGTACGGCTATGAGTAGTGCCCGGTCACGTAAATCAAGTGGATCTTCTGGTACAGGTTCAAATGCTCCACAGTATCACCATGGTCATTGTACGCCTGGTCAACCCTATATCCAGTCCTCCAACAATGAACAACTAATGCATACTTCACATGTAACATATAATAAGGTAAAGAGCCTTTTTCATTACTTTTGCTTGACCAAGTATAGCGATCATCAATGCAATGAAATGCGTGAAACAATTTGTCATTTGATTTTGTCTTTGAATTCATGAATATTTTAATATTCATCGAAAGATGATCAATTCAACTCAAGATTTTAAATAGCTAAGTTCATTTTGATGCAAAAAATATGCTAATTGACATTCGAGGTTGCTGAACAACTGGTTTTTATATTTCGTGACATAAAACACATCTATAAATATCTTGTACTATCTTACCTGTTTTCTTAACTGTAGCCTACTGTCCAACCTCAGTATATGGCTTCACAAATTTCTCATGCTGTTGTTGGTGGGGCATCGCAATCTGCACACAACAATAAGGAGGAACGTCAATTACTCTCTGATAGAAATGAAGTAGTTGTAACCGGTCAAACACACCTGCTTCAAAGTCAACAACAGAATAAGCGAATAACTTCAGTACTAGCAACTGACTCCCCAGAAATTCTCCACTCTCAGCAATTACTGACCGAACAGCTACCACAATACCAACAGAATGTTCGGGATTCAGTGATTTACCAAAAACAGTCAATATTGGAAATGGACAAAAATATAAATAAGGTAATTTCAATGCTGTATTAATACAGAAATTATTACTAAGTAGAGAAAGGCTTTGTGCTAAGCACCAAGAAATATTTCACACATGCAACATGACAATAACTTAAAAAGTAAGAGAGATAATCGTACAGCGAATACTGTATCAATTAATAAATTTTGAACAAGAGCTAGACGGACATACGTTCCAGTGTCGAAAGAAATATCCTTATATCAACAGGTCGTTGGTAGTAAAACTTCCGATCATTCTAAACTCTTCTCTCCATAAATGATCGTTTTATGCAAGCTGTTGCCTGATGTGATATTTGACTTAGCTATTCAGAAATTGTACATGGTTTGTACTGACTATTCTCAACCTTCACATTTTAAACAATGACAGAAACAACGTAAGACGTATCCACTAGAGTTTGTACACTTTACTACCGGCACAGGGAGAGTATATTAACAAGATAAAAGTGAAAACTAAACGAAGGCTATATATATATATATATATATATATATATATATATATATATATATATATATATATATAAATTATTTGTGTTTGAACCCCGCTCCACCTACTTTCGTTTGGGTAACTGGGTAACATCATTAGCCTTTACGGGAGTGGTCAACATACTCAACTACTTCACTTCCTATGATCAAAGCAGGCGACGATCCAAATTCATCCTGATGACATTTTGCATTTGGAGGGCGAGAAGCACACACCGAACATGTTCACATCTTTTCTCAAGCTGATCGAAATACTGGATTATGTCACCGTCTTCACCGAATAGGACTATATCGTCTGTCTACTTTAAGTTGATGGGTATTGGTAAATCAATCGTTGAAAAGGTATAAGAAAGCGACAGAATCTCGATCATTGTCATCCCTAAAAATTTATGGAGTCAGCCTGTTAGGTTATGCTGCTTTCCTTTGATTCAAGTTAGTTATAGCTTCCTTAACCTTACTAAGAGTTGGGGACCTAGGTGGAGTTTTGTTCTTTGAGCTGTATGGTCGAGGTCGACAGGACAAGCTGTGAGTCATGTCGAAAAATTCAAACACTTCACTCCTACTTAGAGTTTGTACTGATTATGTTGTTTAGAGGAACAATGAAAGCTTCGCGACCAAACCATCCAGCTCAGAAAACTAAACTCCACCTGAGCTACTAGTCTTTTCCACTATCTCAAGTTGGTGACTTGTGTCGATTTCCCATTTCGGTTGTTTGGAGATATTGTAACTGAAGGGTGGCCGGTCTACCTAAGTGACCATTCAGATTCCTCCTGATGACATTTTTTATTTGGACGGAGAGAAGCACATGTTAATGCTTGTTTTCTTCGTTCCAGGTTAGATATAACCTATACGACTTCGCTAGGATTTAGAGACTTGTATTAATTTACGATTGTAAGTGTTTGGAGATAATGGATAAATGTAGGTCATTTGAGCTGTTTCTTCGTATTGGTCTAATCTCATGAACTGAATGTGCGTCGTGGTTCCTTTTTTCCAAACAACCGGCTCTCTAATATCTGCTTCGTTTATGAGTTGGAATAGTTACCCGTCTCTGCTATATTTTCCATAGCTTTTGCTTTCATCTCACATTGATGCTCATGATCATTTTGCAGGATTTTGAGTTTAAATTCGAGTCGTTTTTTGTTTTTAATCACTGGACCTCCCAAGATAATTTTCCGATCAGGTACCGAAGTCCACTTTTCCTTTCAACTTTTTTGATCCGATTTGGCAGTAGACATCACCTGTATGTACACCTATTTGGATATTATACCATGGTTCAGAATGAAATTTTTCCCCAATGACTAATTAGGTGTCTGGCTAATTCTTCCGTGAATTCATTCTTGACCTTTTGATCCTAACCAGTTGTCACTTGGTTTTGACTGGTGTCAGAATATGTGTTCAATATAAGTATATTCACACTACAGTCTGTTCTTTATATCTCCATTGTTTTCGAAGCTCGTTCTCAAAACATTTTTCACCCACTTCCCCATCTTTTGTGCAATGTTTCTTTTTACAAAGATGGGTCAGTTAAATATTTCCAGTCAAGCAACTCCAAGCACGCAGTCGCAACACCAAACTTTAAATGACAAAACAGTCGGTGAACCTGATGAACACTTGACAATACCACCTCCTGGTGCATTTCGTTATGATAATGAACGAGAACCTCAAGGTAATCAAATCAAAGGACAAGAAGTAAATTTTGGAGATCCACTGGCTTTGCAGAATAGTAGATTGATACCGAGACAGCCTAGTGATCCCGTATGGGCACCTGATTTCTATATTGAGAAAGGTATGAATATGTCACTGTTTATTTAAGCTCGTCTTATTTATCGTTTTAATTTACCTATAATAATAAAATACAACTAACAGCTATTATCTGTTGAATGAATACTCTGCCCCCTGAAATCCGTTCATTTGAATAAGAAATAATGAGTCTATGAGCAGAGATGGGGGCAGTCCGCACAGGATGCACATATGCCAACAAGAGACTGATCAGTTGCAGTCCTAAACGTCATTGGGAAGATTCAAACAAACAATACAAAAATTAATAACATACTATAGTACCAATCCTTATTATTTCATGGACGAAATCCCTCGGATCAGACCCATAAATAAGTGAATAAAGGGTCTAGTGAATTCTAACCTATGATCCACCAACTGTCGACAAATCAAAACTTCCTTCCATTAGAAAAATTAGTAAATTAACTGTAATCTTGCTATATAGGGTTAAAAAAATTATACACGATTTCGCTGCAAGTGGTTGACTTACCCAATTAAAAACCGTAAATTAAAATTTTGGAATTCAACTGTATACATATATCTGTGGAGTAAATTAATGATACATTTGTGATATTTCAACGGACAGAAACCTAAATTTCTGATGTTTCGTCACTCAGTGTAATTCACTGCTTCAGAGTAAATAAATGGATAACCGAATAGAATTAGCACGAGTTTGAATAGCATAGAAGAATAGACAAAATACTTATTTCAGTCAAGATAAAAATAAGTCTGGTTGTGTCAGTATTATGCTATTTTTGATCAAAAAGTTTTCATGCGAGACATCACTGTATATCTGTGTGTATGGTAATGATGGTGTGGACATCTGTGTTCGTGTGTATCATTGGTGTGATAAATAAACAGGATTAGATACTGTTGTTTAGGTAAAACGACGACGTTGGATGAACAGTCAGGTTTTACCTTATCATATGAAACGCTTCAGCTACTCACTTTTCTTTATATTTGAAAAATCCTTCCGAACGATTTCGACCTTTTTAATATCGATCTGGTGGTCGTTAAAAACAATATGTACGGTCATTTCAGATTTTTCTGTAGATGTCTCATGGGACGATTAATGATTTCACGAAAAGACTCCAAAATAGAAAGCATTATAATCGACACAACCTAATGCGTATATGTAAGAGGAATTTTCTCTTGTATCTTCAGATTTATTTATATTTATCCTTCTGATGTAAAGGTATTGGTAAATTAAGCCAGCAGTCCACTTGTGACAGTTTTAACTTTTAGTATCTTAACGAAATCCTTACTTTGTGAAATTATGCCTGTCAATTTACTCTTTTTTCCCTGCAGTCATAACAATGTACGAGTACGTACGTGATAAAGATGATGAGCTAACATTTGTGGAGAACCAAATAATATACGTTATTAAGAAGAATGATGACGGTTGGTGGGAAGGAATTATGAATGGCAAAACTGGGTTATTCCCAGGAAATTACGTGGAACCTTTCGATACAGAATGATTAACCCTGATAACGAAGACAACTTTGGTCAAGTAAACCAGCGCTTATCTGTTTAATTTAATACAAATACTTTTTAATTTCTAATGGTTAATTTATCTAACAAATTATAATCATCGTCATCATGTTCATCTTCTGATTTTCCAGAACACTGTTCCTCTTCGTTCTCGCTCTCAGTGTCTTCATCAGAGTAGTTTTCTACACATGTCTGGCGACCATACTCGTAGCTGCGAACTAAAGCAAAAAAATCAACATTAAAACAAATAAGGAACTTTCCTAAAGATTAAGAGTACGATCAATATGATTACTAAATATACGTTGGAAGTATTGTGCATTTACTCCGAACGTGGTTACTTCATAATAGTAGCATTTCTGTCAATGATATTCTTGGTTTAGATATGCCTGAATGACATCAGATCTGGATAGTAGGCGAATTATCAGTAACAGGCAACCGAAATCGTAAGATTCATCATTTACAGAGAATAACTCAGAGTATCATTATTACTATCGAAGTCCCGAATTTGTATACTGACAAAAGGCACTTGACAATACTAACCAATAGATTGCTTCTAGTATAAGAATTAGTACGTATATCTGTGAAGAGTGTAGACATATCCAGTTTGAGAAAATACTGTTTATTGCGCAACAGTACCTTATGGTTTGTCATTCTATTACCACAGATTACATTTAATACGTCAAGATGGAACCTACTCATTATATATAAAGGAATGGCAGGATGATTCGCAATCAAATCCTAGCTCGAGCACGTCTTATGTGGTAACATTTTGAAATGTCTAGTCTATGAATATTGGCTATCGGAGCAACTGCTTTATTTTTCTTTCGTCAGTTTTTTTAGTTAAGATATTTACATTGTCTAACCTACTATTGACACATTCGTGATTACTTTGGATTTTATTCGATTTGTATTTATCGAACTTAACAGTCTAGTTTTCTATATATTTTATCACAACTTACCTGATACGCTCAAATTATAACTATCAGTTAAATCATGTCCGCATTTCGGACAAGGAATAGGCCTTCCACGTTCATACTTCACACCTTTTCTCTTGCAGTGATCGTCACAATATGTAACTTTACAACGGAGACACATTTGTGTTCCCATTTTGTTACATGAAGCACATTTAAAGTTCTCACTTTCTAAACGTTGACAGCTTGCCTGAAATATTACATGGGAAATGATAAGTTATGGTACAAACATAAAATCCTAAATAATAAAAACAAATTCTATCAGTTAATTAGAACTAAGTCTGTGTGGGAACCATTCTCCAATGATTCTTCAAATATTTCAGTTTAATCATAGTAGCATCAAACTTTGTTAATGTATGCAGTTCTTCGTTCGAGGGTTTTAATAATGATGTTCTAATGTCCATTTAGTGTTCACTTAGTGTTTTGTTTTAGATAAACACATTTAGGTTTAAGTTTACGTTTCGCTTCATCAAGCAACAAGAAGTCAGTAAGAAAAACGAAGAAATGGGAATGACAATTTAACACAAAACAAGGATCATGTGATATTGTAAACGTGTAGGAAAATAATTATTGAAGGTATTCACATTACTGAGAGGTTTTGGAACATAACTCTTGAGATTTTTTCAACTATTGAAAATAGTTACCCTGTCAACTTAATACCTTTTCACTTGTACAAACAACAAATGACTTCATGAACGGATTGCATTTTATGGTTAGTCCTGTAAAACTTCAAATCAACACTTAACACAGATGACATTAATCTGCGGCGCATATATATTTGGTCCCCCTGTGTACCACTATTTATGTATTTAAATAAATAAAGTACTATAAGCAACCACTACCAATATTATCCTGGGACGAATTATATGGATTCCATAAAACAACAACATACCTGGTGCTCAAACTGGTCATCCTCACAAAGCTTGTGGTCACAATAGGCGCAAGAAAACACCCGACCACCAAAACTGTATAACCCGCGCTCACATTCAACACAAACAGCGTCTCTCAGTGGACATTCACATGCATGTACAGATAAACACTTCTCCCCATGACATATCCAAGCTTCACAAAAGTCGCAAACCGCTCCCTTGAATATTAAGTGAATAAGGAAATAAAATGTTAGTTGATGGATAGTGCAGTGCGGTATGTCTGAAGGTCGATAAAAATAAACCCCAAAAACTTCCAGATACTGAGTCTGTTACATGAGTCTAACCAGAGATGATGGCTTTGATCTATGTCTTTTCATTTATAGCCGTGAAGGTAAAGATAATTTCACTCGTCAGGACTCGTAATAAAGTACAAGTTGACTGTTTCATATGTTAAAACATAACTAGAAAAACACTCCAGTAATAGTGGTTAATCCAGAATTTTAAATCCTATTTGGACCAATTAGCTGGGCGAACTCGTCTGTTAGACAATACAAATAATTTCGAAAACTGATATTGAAATTGTCAGTGTGTTAGTCATTTTTTAAACACTGCTGCATTATATGTAGCAAAAGGTATTAAAATATAACGATACATTCCCTGAAGTTAAAATAGTATTATTGGACGGTCAGCTACAACATAGGACCAGGCACATATATACATCGGTCCAAGTTGCCATACCCCATTAGCACAACAAGATGAACATCAAATTCATAGAAGTAGTCACTACAATGGTGGTAATGTATAAAAGAAAGGTTGTGTATAAGGATATAGCACAGGAAGAAAGAATTAGTCCGTAGAAAGGTATATCAAGTCAGTCATTTTCAGATGTTTTGACAAGAATGGCTTGAACATTTCCACACGAAAGTGTCAGGACGCTAGTCACTCTTTTCCTTTACTAATGTTGTGTAGTCTTAACGTTAGTTTAGTACATCACTTCGGGTGAAAAAGGTATCATGAGCCACACTAACTTTTTGATTTCTGCAATGTTTTATTCAACACAACGCCAGAAACTTTACACACTCCTTAGTTTCGAATAATTTAGTAGCAATATGCTGACTGAACAGAACTAATTAGTAACTTCAATATTCCCATTGTGATAAATTGAGAAATTAATTTAAGAACAGTCACACTTTCAGCAGTTTCCTACCAGGTTATATAATTTCTGGGACTTTTTCATTATTTATTCAGTACAGAAATGTTACTAAAACTAGTTAAATCCGAACAATTGTTTGCTTTTGCAGTATGTAATTATAGGGCATAGTATACAGATCGCGAAGTGATTATTTAGTTGTAGCTTAAAAAAGACAATATCCTACACTAGCGTTGGACATGTAAAAGGGATTTTAGTTATAATCGTAAGTTATTTGACCAAAATATAGAACGGACTCCAAATGGAACTTCTCCGATTTACAAACTACCCTGGTGCATCTCAGTAATTAAGTTTAGGTATAAGTGTAGAGTTTTGAGACAGGGTCTAGAAGGGTTAGACGTATTGAAATATGCAGGCAGAAAGTGTAGCTTCATTCGAATCTGTGACCCACTAGTCAAAGAAGGATCATCTAAACCACTGACTACACTTACCACCATACTGAGTCCAGTAACATGTGTAGAACCATGTTTAACTAGACAATCGCCAGAACGTGCAGAACACTTTTGTTTACCACAATGACAACACACTGGGAGTCTTTGGATAGACTGGCAAAAATAACAAAATGCTCGGTTTTTCTGATGCTTCCCACACTGGCCACACTCCTATAATTTGATAACCTTGAACAAAATACAGACATACCATCAATATGTTCGAAGGATGGTTGATAAGATCTATTTCTAGTCCTTTTTTCCGGAGTAATTTTTGTCTTATCTTAGCTTTTTCAGCTTTCTTCCTTTGTCCAGTCTTCTTTTTAGGCATTTTGCTGTAAATTATCGGTTTTGAAATTATTGTAAATACATTTTACGTGAACAGCTGGACAAACCACTACATCAAAATAAGACACAAGCCTCTTGGTTAGATGTAAAGTAGTTCCAAAAAACAGTTCCGCTGGACAACACCCAATATCTTGACTAATTGTTATTCTTAAGCCCAACATGACTAGAGGAAGTCTATTGGCCCGATCAGTATTGTCAAGACAGCTGTGAGAGAGGTTCTTAGTTCCCCATGTAACCGCTCTATCATATGATTTTCTATCGGATGGTTCGTGGAACTATTCTACGTCTACCCAGAGAAATTTTCGCTTTAGGTAAGTGTCCCAACTGATATAACCGTCTAAAGCAGCACATTTGTGATTCAAGAATAACGCCTCCGACAACCACTTGGCAAAATTGCCCATGTATTTATCAAGAGACAATGTACAGTGTCCCGTACAATGACCCGTTTAAGGAAACGACAAAACTTTTATGGTAGAAAAGGCTGGAAAAACGCATGCAATTAGGGTTGACTGAGTCAAACCGGCTTTCACCGAAAGTAACGATCAGCTGTTAGGTACTTTTCATATTATTACCACTATTTTTATTAATCTTCGCAGTTCTCCCCACAGATTTTTATTATCTTTACATTTAAACGTGACACATTTTTTGATACGTTAAGGATGTACGTATTTCCGATATTCAGAGTATTAATATTCACATGTACATTATATATATAAAGCCCCTTAAATTTTTGGAACATAACGCAGGAAAATGCTATTAATTAATCAGTAATCCAAATGCCCTGGTACGGCCGAGAATGGGGAGAGTCAGCTCTCCCTCTCGAAATGCTCTCACATGGCCACGTGCATGCAACCACTGCCAGGGAAGTCCTACTCATTGCCCTCTTGCGGCATCACTGTTGTCTGCAAATTTGAGAGGACGAAAAGCGGACGTCCGGTGCCTTAACCAGATTGGTGGATCCATATAGGGAAGTTGGAAAACCCTGATTCCAAACCAATGGTGCACATAGGCTCAGGATCCTGAGGGAATAAATGGCGTATGAACCAATTATTGGTCACCGGCTACCATGGGGCTGAATCTCCTGACGTTTCACCACTGCCTTGTGGATTAGATCTTTAGGTCAAAGGCTCGTGATGTGGCCCCCTAAGAGAACCACCTGCTTCGGTTTGAGCAACCGGGAAGTATCCCAACCCTTACACAAATCGGATGATTTACGTGGCACATATCTATTTGGTGCCTCCTTGTACCAATGTTTATGTGTTTAAATAATAATAAATAATAGCATTATATAAAAAACATTTCGATACATACGTGTCATCTCAATTTAACGCTTACTACTTATTTATAAAAAAATCTCTTGTTAGCGTTACATTGTTGAACATAGATGTTAAAAAATGCCAGTGTTTTGAAAATGAGCTTATTTGATAAGCCCTTATCAAATTATTTGTACGATCTATTTTCCCAGGTCACATAATAAAGGCCAAGAACTGCCTGTTATATGTTAATAACCTACCCACTGTAATTTGGACATCTGATCCACTATAGATACGTGTCAGTTTGACTCAACCCATACCTGCATCCCAATCTTTATCTATTATTGTGGATGTAATTAGTTATCAACAATGCAGCTTTCCCCAACAAATAATATTCCGGCTTCTTAATATTTCCGAGTAGATATATAGTGGTACCAAGAAGATTAGCCTGTTGAGAAGTACATAGTCAACGAGTCATATTTTCGATTCAAAGTGAGGAATTAACTTTAACAACAGCCGAATAAGGGCAGAAGATGATGACATAAACTGAATATACATAACCAAACAAATCCCGACCGTTGTTGCTACCTTGACGTGGTGGTCGGGCTTGCCTATCGTGATGAAGCAACCGAGCTATACTGGCTGGAACAACCGTTCCTCAAGGTCCTACCATGTCAGACAGGTCGGTTGAAGAGCGGTAAGACTAAAAGCAACAAACCCAAGGTCCGAAGGCGAAGTCGTACTGCTGACTGTACAGAGGTGTGACAGCAGTAAGGTGTTTCCTTCAGACAACCAGCATGACAGCGATGCTGCCTTCCCACAAGGAGGGGTGGGGTTAGAAAAGGTCGACCCTAAAAATGCACACCTTACCTCACGGATTTCCGTCTCCGGCGGTAAGGCCCTTTGAAGAACGGAGCTAACACGTCGAAAACCTCCCACAAAAAGGCTGTGCGCGACCGGCCTCAAGCAGTTGTCCCTTGGGCACTGCGGTCACGCTCTCAGGTCACTGAGACCACCTCTAATCCAATTTCCTTTTCAGGTACCTCCAGAAGAACCCTTCCACGGTGTGGGCAACCGGGAAGTGATAACCGCCCTCATACCTCTAACAGCACCCAAGACCACTGTATTCATAATCAACCTTCCTCTTCAATCCTTATTATTCCTCCTACATCGACTTTCAACCCTAAACTTCCTCCTTCGGCTTCCTCCTCAAGTGTCACCATAGCCAACGATTCTAGTGCTCAAAACTCTGTCCCAGGTCTACTGAAACCTCGCTCCAAACTACACATTGGAGCTTTCAACGTACGCACTCTATGTCAAATCGGTCAGCAGGCTTCCTTGGCTAAAACCCTAGAGTCTCTTTCCATTGATGTGTGCTGTGTCTCTGAAACACGCATACAGGATCCCAGTGTGGTCATTCACTTGACCTCACCTCGGCAAAACGGAGAGCCAACGAGATACACCCTCCGTGTATCTGGTGACCCGATGGCCAGTTCTCGTGGACTGGCAGGTGTAGGCATAGCACTAAGCATGAGGGCCGAACAAGCACTGCTAGAGTGGATCCCCGTCAACAGTCGTCTATGTGCTGTTCGGCTGAACGGCTACGTAAGAACTCGGAAGGATAGGGACACACGTCGTTGCCTTTTTGTCGTTTCTGTCTACGCTCCCACTGACTGCAGCTCAGATGAAGTGAAAGATGAATTTTACAGAAAGCTTTCTGAACTTCTTCAGAAAGCTAAACGCTCAGACATAGTACTCGTAGCAGGTGATTTTAATGCTCAGATAGGTAGCTTAAACCAAACAGAAAGGCATTTAGGTGGATATTTTAGTATTCCGACACAGCGAACAGATAATGGTGATCGTCTGCTGCAGCTGTGCTCAGACAATCGTTTATTTTTAGCAAACACAGATTTTAAGCATAAGGAGAGACATCGTCTAACATGGCGACCCCCTACACCAAACCAACGATGGACTCAAATAGACCATATTGCCATCAGTCATCGTTGAAGAGGGTCGGTAGAAGATTGTCGCTCATTCTGGGGTACCTGCTTGGACTCCGACCATGCCCTAATACGGGCACGCATCTGCTTGCGCCTCACTGGACGCAAAAAAGCCACATTAAAAAGACCCGTTAGAACTGAATTGAGTAACGAGAAAACCAAAAGTAGGTTCCAGGAACAACTGAGGTCACGATTAGGTAGTTCTGAAAACGAGGCTGACCCAGATGTTGCTTGGAAAGATATACAAACAGTTGTGGAAACAGCAATGAAATCTATTAGTGACTTAAACCACAGAGTTACAAAGAACCAGTGGATTTCTTCAAAGTCTATCACACTGATGGATTCTCGCAAACTCGTCCCATCAGGTTCCGAGCATGATGAAGAGCGAAAACAAATCAGATCTAGGTTAAGCAAGTCTCAGGAACGACCGTGAGCAGTGGTGGGCAACGAAAGCAAAAGAGATGGAAAAGGCGGCGGCTATAGGGAACACAAGACAGCTTTACAGACTAATAAAAGAAACTGAAATTAATAAGTTGAGTGTAAGTGAGATTATATCTGTGGCAGTGTCTGTCATTGAAAGGCGTACCTCAGAAGTACATAAACCTTGTGAAGGCTCTTTACTCGAACACTACTAGTCGAGTCAGAGCTTATGGCGAACTGTCATCTACTTTTGCAACTTCAAGTGGTGTCCGTCAAGGCTGTCCACTTTCTCCATTTTTGTTTAACTTCATCATAGACCTATTGATGGAAATAACACTCTCGTCGACTGAATTCTCGGGTATTGATCTCCTTCCAGGAGGTCCACTTATCGACTTAGAATACGCAGATGATATAGTCCTGTTTGGTGAAGACGCTGACAAAATGCAGTCTTCTGGTAGCACTAAGCAACAATGCCAGAATGTTTGGGATGCGCTTCTCTCCCTCTAAATGCAAGTTGTTGCTTCAGGACTGGTCTGCGTCAACACCTGAACTAAGTATAGGGAGTGAAGTAGTCGAACGCGTCGACAACTTCACTTATCTTGGAAGTCTGATCAGCCCTAATGGGTTGGTGTCTGACGAAATCTCAGCACGGATTCGAAAAGCTCGTTTGGCTTTTGCCAACTTACGTCACCTTTGGCGGAGGCGAGATATCCGTCTATCAATAAAAGGACGAGTATACTGCGCGGCAGTCCGTTCTGTCTTACTTTACGGCAGCGAAACATGGCCTTTAAGAGTAGAAGACACCCGTAAGCTACAAGTATTTGACCACAGATGCCTTAGAAATATTGGTGGCGTCTGCTGGGATCACCGGGTAAGTAATAGTGAGGTTAGACGTAGGGTATTAGGGAATGATGGTAAATCAGTTGATGAGGTTATGAATCTTCATCGACTGAGATGGTTGGGCCACGTATTACGTATGCCTGAACACCGATTACCACGACGTGCAATGCTAACCGGTGTAGGGGATGGTTGGAAGAAAGTTAGGGGCGGCCAAACCAAAACGTGGCATCAGTGCTTGAAGTCACTAACTTCTAGTCTTAGCCATGTTGGTAGATGCAGACTACTTGGTTGGGGTCCGCGTGACTATCGTAACCAATGGTTGGAGACTCTTGGTGACATGGCTCAGAATCGATCACAATGGCGTCGGTGTATACACTCTTTGTCTTCCCTTAAACTAAGAGATTAAAATCACTTCATATCTTTCTTTCTACGAATTAATTCTTTCTTCGTGTACTATATCCTTATTGCAACCTTTGACCTAACCACTCCTATGAATCCGGTGTTCATCTTGTTGTGCTAATGAGGTATGGCAACCTGGACCGATGCACATATGTGCCTGGTCCTACGTTGTAGCTGACTGACTGACTGAACCAAACAAATTAGTGGAGAAGGGTATTAGGACTGATGGGTAGAAGTACGTACAAAACCTAGCAACTATAGCAGAAAAAGCTGCAAGAGAAGGGAATATGGGACAACTATATCATGCAACCAAGAGGCTAACAGAAAAATATGGTAAACCAGAGATACCAGTAAAGAAAAAAGAAGAACTAATCAATAGGGACTAGGAACAGTGACACAGGTGGATAGAGCACCTTGAATAGCTATTTAATAGACCACCTCCACTGAACGCACCAAGCATTTAAGCAACACATACATACCTAAAATTGTTACCAACAACAGAAATCGGTAAGGCCATCAGAAAAATCAAGAATGGGGAAGCAGAAGGATCAGACAGCATACCAGCCGGAGCTTGAATTCAGACGGAGTTTAGTGAAAAAATGTTTCACAATTTGTCCAGAAAGACCTAGGAGGAAGAGCAAGTACCAACAGGCAGGAAAGAGGAATACTTCATTAAAGACAAAAGAGGGAAGATCGTATTAAGCCTAAGAACTACGAAAGGGTCATACTACTGTCAGTACCAGGCAGAGTTTGCAAGTGTTGCCGAACCGAATAAAGATTCGTTAGATATCTAACTGAGAGATTAACAAGCTGGCTTTCGTAAGGATCGATCATGTACCAACCAAATGACTATAAGCATAATAATTGAATGGAACTCATGGCTGTACATCAATCTCCTTCATAATGAGAAATCATTCGACAATGTGCATAAGAAAACCTTAAAGAACCTTACTTGATAATATGGAGTTCCTCAAACGACTATCACCATCAGATGAAAGCCTTACGGGGACTGAATTGCAAATTTGTGCGTGGACGGCAGCTTACAGTTGCATCTCAAATGAAGACTAATATCAGACAAAGTTGCCTACTCTTACGTTTTCTTTTTTCTTGTTGTTGACTATATTATAAAGACCAGATCTCGGGAAAAACACGAAACAGCGAATTAGAACGCAACTGGATGACTTGAAATTTGTATATGATTTAGCCCTGCTACTCTATAAATAACAGCAAACGTAGATGAAGACAGTCAATGTAGCAGCAGCATGACTGAGGTAAAAATCAAGATCCTGATAGACAAAACGGAGAGTATCAACCAAACAAAACTGCATGATGAACTTCTGGAAGAGGTGTAAACTTTCATGTACTTGTGCAGCATTATTGATAAACAAGGAGGATCTGATGCAGACGTCGAGGAAATGAAACCTAACATTGAAAAATTCACGCAAACTGACTGGATCGGGAACATGTGACCGTTCGGATCTCAGTTTGCTTGATCCTTTGCAGCGACGATCGGCAGAGACAGAAATAAACGAGTGCTGACGGAACATTAAAAAACCCTGTACTTAAAGGTTTCTACATTGTGAAAGTTCGGAGCAAAACGATGCCCGAACCACTCTGGGTGGTGGGGGAATGTTATTCACATAATTAAAGGTATGCTATACTAATGCTCGCAACCTACTAAATAAAATAGCGGAGCTCAAAAACGTGGTGGATACATAAGGTTCTTATGTCTTTTCCATCCCAGAAACATGATTAACGTCAGAAGTGTATGATAGCGAAATTCGATTGTTTAGTTTCTTACTTTGTAGGATCGTAAGTGTGGTGGGGTTACCGTGAAAATGAAAAGTACATTAACTATACGAGATGTCGAGGCGGTAGTACACGACTCAGGGACATGAGAACTGGCGTGCCGCCAGCTGAACTGCAAAGGGCAAGACATTGAATTAGTTCTAATACATCGCAGTTCAGAATATGTAGTGGATGACTTCTTTCTAAATAAACTTAAATCCTGACCAAACAAGTGTAAAAGCATTATAGTAGATAAATTTAATGCACCCTTTATAAATTGGCGAAGCCTAACAGTAGGGTAATCAAAAACATAGTTCTATTGCAAATTGTTAGGAACGGCAATCGCCCTAGATTTATTCCAGCACATTAAAGATCCAACCACATATGATCCAACAAACTCCTCGTTTGTCTTGGAATTAGTCTTTACACAAAGTGATGAGGTTAGTCAAATAATGTTTCTTCCACTACTAGAATGAGTGATCATACGTCATTCTATGCATGTCCACGGCTTCTACTGTCTATCAAGCAGTTGAACAGGCTCGTCCTAATATATGAAACGCATATATGAAGACGATCAACGCTCCAACCTCGACTGGAAACTGATTCCATCACACTAGTAAAAGGTGCACAGATACAGAAGGCTCGACTAGCTTTTGCCAACTTGCGTCATTTATGGCGTAGGCGAGATATCCGTCTATCAACCAAAGGACGGGTTTACTGCACAGCAGTTCGTTCCGTCCTACTTTATGGCAGCGAAACATGGCCGGTAAGAGTAAGGGATATTCGTAGGTTACTAGTATTCGATCATAGGTGTCTTCGGAACATTGCTCGTATATCTTGGGACCATCGAGTAAGTAACGCAGTTGTTAGGAAACGGGTACTAAGTAAGGATGGCAAATCGATTGATGAAGTGGTGAAACTTCATCAGTTGAGATGGCTGGGACACGTGTTACGTATGCCCAACTACCGACTGCCTCGACGTGCGATGTTCATTGGTATAGGAGTAGGTTGGAAGAAAGCTAGGGGTGGCCAGACCAAATCATGACACAAGTCCATGAAGTCACTGACAAGTGGACTGAGTCATGTTGGTAGGTGTAGACTACCTGGTTGGGGACCGCGAGATGATAGCAACCGATGGTTAGAGACCCTGAATGACATGGCTCGAAATCGTTTGCAATGGCGCAGGTGCATCCACTCTCTGTGTTCTCCCAAATTCTAATCTACTGATTCCTCCTTGTCTGTTTTTTCTCTTCCCAAATTTATTTCACTGGATTATACTCTCTAAATAACATCTTCAAACCCTAATCTTTCAGATTACTGCTTATACTCTTACTACCTCTACCACTATGGGATTTGAATCGACAACTGCATCTCTGTGCTAATGTGGTGTGGCAACTCGAACTGATGTACGTACGTACGAAGTTCTAAGTTGTTACTGACTGACTGACTGCATGAACTCATTTCCAGCAGTTATACAATTAACTACACAACCATTTATACCATGGACAGTCCCAAAGAAGAAAAATCACGGCCATTCCTGGATAAGCTGGAGTATTCGACGTTCACTAAGACAAAAGAATGTTGGAACATCACCATCAACCTTGGCATGGCAAATACAATGGAACGCTACAGGCCGGTTCGAATTAAGTGTTTAGGCACAGTCCAGGCAGCTCGGCGAAAATACGAAAAGCGGTCGACCCTGTCTGTAATCAATAAGCCAAAGCGACTGTTTTTGTACATAAATAACAGGACAAGAACGCACCATCCAATTTCCAACCTAATTACGGGAGCGCATCATAAACGAAGGACGGAGACCAAGACAAAGCACGGGGCCATGAAGAACTATTCTAGGGCGGTTTTCACTCAGGACCCTCCTCTAGATGAGGGACTAGACCCGGATGCAAAGTCAGAAAGTTGACTATTCATTGTGAGCCATGACGTTCTAAAGGTCCTTAGCACTTAAACACAG